AAAATATATTTTGATAAATATATTTTGTTTTTTAATATAATATATATTATAATAATATATTATAATATATTATAATAATATTAATATAATATATATAATTTAATATAATATAATAAATATATAATAATGGTACAATAATATAAATAAATTTTAGGTGTATATGAATTTGTACCATTGGAATCTGGAAAAGGAGAAAGATTACAAATTAATGCTCAGAATTGTATTCATTGCAAAACTTGTGATATTAAGGATCCAAGTCAAAATATCAATTGGGTTGTACCAGAAGGTGGAGGTGGTCCAGCTTATAACGGAATGTAAAAATTAAATATTTTATAATGATTTGATAAAATTTTTTTTAAATTTTAAAAAATATATCTAAGAAATTTTTGTATAAATTTATATCATAATGTATATGATAAATATTTTTATACAGTTTTATATTTTTAAACAATGTTTATAATTATAAATATGCAACAATGATTTTTTTTCTACAATATAATATTTTATTAAAAATTCAGTAATACTATCTCTCAAATAAAACTTTGAAATAATTTCTTTAAATATTTTTACCAAATTATTGTTATATAAATTATTATATAATTATATATAATTTTTTAACAATTTTTATTAAATTTTATTTATGTTCAAATAAATACAAGAATAATATTACTGAAAATGTATATGATATTTTTAAAATCCAGTAATTGAAGACAGTAATTATCAAAACTTGTAATATTCAATAATTGCGGTAAAGATTTTTTATATATTATTGATTAATATTTTTTTTATTTTTTAACGATTTCTCTAATAAAAAAATGAATGTAGAAAAATAGTTAATAATCTATTCTTTATAAATTTTAATATAAATAATGTAAAAAAAAAGTAAAAAATATTTTTCTTGAAATTATTCAAAATTATTAAAAAATTATTCAAAAAAATCTATCTGAAACTATTTAAAAATTTGTTATTAAATATATTGCTATAATATATTGTCATAATATTAATTTTCGGATTTAATATATTGATAAGAATATGCAAAAATATTTGCATACTTGTATTTTTTCCTATAATAAAATTCTTTTTTTTAGCAAGAAAGATGCGAGATTAATAAATTTCAAAAGTTTGGTTCATTATTTTGATTATGATCATTCATTTCATTATTATTAATTGTGCATAAAAATGATTTATTTGTTTTGACTATTCAAACATTTATATAATACAATATATATGCATTTATAAAATACAATAAAATTTATTTTAAAATTTATTTTTAAGATGATTTTTTTGCCATATATTTATTTACACAGAATATTATAATATAATATTACATAGAATGTATAATATAAAAATATTAAATATATTTGGAAGAATTGAATAGATATCAAAATGATGAAAAAAGTCATATACACATGTGTTTGATAAGATTTAATTAATAGATTATAAATGTTTACATTAAATAAAATGAGATGATATAATGATAATAAGATAAAAATGAAATAAAAATGAGGTATTCATAAAAAAGATCAATTGCAATATATACATATTTTTTATGCTGTGTGCATTAATTCATTATTAATGTATAATATTCAATTTTTATTAATGTATAACATTCAATTTCAACCATTATTCTTCTTTGATTCAATGATTTCAGTTTTTAAAAAGAGATTAAATATTAAATGCAAATATAAAGATAAAGATCTGATTCATTGATCTGTAGAATTCAAATTGATTTGTGATTTTTTGTATATGTGGAAGCTTGTATGAACATATTTAGTTTTTCTAATGAATGAATAAGATGTTTTTTCTAACATAGCATGGCGCATCATTTGGCATCTTACAATCGAATTTTGAAAATGTGTTTTGCTTATGATTTTTTTTTTGCTTCTATGAATTTCAGTAAATAAGCATTTCAGTAAATAAGTTGAAATTTGCTATAATTTATTGAGATAAGTTTTTAATAAATAACAAATTATATAGTATATAATATATAATTATATAATTAGATAATTATATTATTATATATATTATATAATTTTAATATAGTTCATATCTACTACTATCTAAAATAATTTTTTATCTTTATTTAAGAGATTTCGTTATAATAAATAATGATATGATATGATATTTTTTCGAATAAATATGATTATTTATTTTAGTGAGTGCTCTCACTTCCTACTATCTTAATTTAATGCAAATTCAAAATATTATAGTTTGTAAAAAAATTTTATAGAACATATATAAAATATAATAGATATAATAAGATGTATATGTGAATATTTTTTTTATTGTGATATCTAATTCATTTTTCAAAGTTCCATATTTTTAAATATTTTTTATAAATATTTGTGTATTAATATATATATTGTATATTAATATATATATATTTATGGGATATCTTTTGAAGATCGATTCTAAAAGTAAAAAAAACAGTAAAAGTTACTAACAAAAATATCAGTTTATTTATTAAGATAAGTTTATTAAGATAAGTTTATTTATTAAGATATAAGTAATTAAAATTTGCATTGAATTTAAGATGATTTTTTTTCAAATTTGTAATTTGAATAAAGTAAAATGGAGATAGTTTAATTTAAACTTAGTAAACTCTGAAAGCAAATTTATTATTAAATTATTCATAACTTTGGCTCCTAGAATTATATCCAAAGATAAAAGAAGAATAAATATCCAAAAGAATCGCACAAATATATTAATCTTTTTTGATATTTGCATGTAATTAAGAAATAGATGAATAGATGAAAATGAAATCAAATAATTTTATCTGGCAGAGAATGCATTAAGAAAACGAATTTAATTGAATTTGAATAAAAAATTAAATAATTTTTATATTTTTTTATTTAAAAACAATAAATTCAAAAATGAAACTTTTTATTTTTAACGATTTCAAAGTTTATTTATTAATTTATTATTATTTATTATCATAGTTATATTTATTATAACTGAGTTAAAAATTTAAAAATGTGATAAAAAATCATACTAATTTAAATGTTTAAATATTCGACATGATATATATTATCCAAAAAAAAAGCATAACTTATGATCGTTTTTTCCTTTAAATAGCATTATCGAATATCATAAATTGAAAATGATTAGATAGTAGCTAAAATAAAACAAATTGAAGAAATAAATAATAAAAAAAATGCTATAAAAACTTTTAAGCTGAAAATTGATTTAAATAAATACAGCTTAAATAAACAGCTATATAGTTTATTCTATTGCAAATCTATTTTGTCACGAAATATTTACTGATAACATGTTAATTTTTGAACATGTTAATTTTTGAAATTTTTTAGTATTCGTCAATACATTATTTTCAAAAAATTCATCCACATTACATTCTAATTATAATTAGTTTCTAATTTTTTCTATTCTAGATTTTTTTCTATTTCTAAAAATAAAAAATAATTTAATATTTAATTAAAAATAAAAATAAAAATATTTAATTTGATTGCCAATTCTTGAATCTCCAAGTACTTTTTATCAGAACTTTTGTTTTATTGTATACTTTTAAAATACACATTATTATGCATCTCACGAAATTTAAAACATTTTAGTATTTTTTTTTATTTTAATAAAATATAATTATTATTTTAAATAATATTAATATATATAATAATAATTTTAAACGAATGAAAATATTTGATATATATTTACTTTCAATGATTTAATATTATATTATGATTATTGTAAAAATTAATTTTTATATAATATAATATTGTATTAAAGAACAAATAGATTTATTGATTGATTTTCCATAGAATAATTTTTTTGATGCAAGGAATGATAAAATTTTTAATCTTTTGATATATATATATGAACATTAATATCAATGTTACTGCTTATATGTTATGAAATTCTATTAAATATTTTTCTAATTTTTATAGTTATTTGCATGTATAACTTTGATTAAAAATAATTTATATATTATAATATAATCGTTTACATTCGATATGCAATTAATATACAATTAGAAATAAAACTAAAACTAGAGATATTGCGAAATAAGATTGTATTCTATATTGTTATAATTATAAAAAAGAACAAGAAATTATTTTTCTTTCTTAAAGCAAAACAATTATTGGTAATAAGTCGTTTTATCTTTATCTTGTCTATCTTAGGATTATTTGTGTAATAATACTTTAGTAATTTCATTTGATCGATAACCACATTGAGAAGAGTTTAGTACACAATGAGCATTCGATTGTGCAACTACGTTAAAGAGATTCGTCTATGCTTAAGATATATTTTATTTGAATTATGATTATTCTGACATTATTTGAAAAATAATTTAATATTTTTTGGTATTTGTAATTAAAACAAAAATAATTAATCAAAACGACAAAAAAAAATTTTCACTTTGTAATTATATTGTTCAAATTTTAATTTTCTTTTCGATTTTTTAATCTTCGAGAATATTTCTTATACAAATTTGATGAATACAAATTTACAAATCATTTCTTAAAATTGATAATTTTTGAAAAATCATTTTAAAATAATGTTATAATTTTTCTATTTTGGATATTAATATTTTATGTTTTTATAATAATTAATTATTTTCTTAATATAAATTGATTTTGTGAATTCTTACAGAAATGATATTTAAATAATTATTACATTATAAATATCAAAATATTTAAATAACATTTAAATATATTTAAATAATGATCAAAAATACCCAAAATATTTTATTCATCTTTGCTGATATTTTTCAAATTATTTAAAAAATTAAGAATTTAAAAAAAATCTAACATCATGTAATAGACTTTTTTTTTATCAAGGAAAGCATATCAAATCAATTTAATCAAAAAATTACTTTAATATTGAAGCGAAATAAACAAAATACGCAGTGGTAATAATAGTTTATTGTGCCGCTTAGTAATATGGAATATCAAAGCAACCATCATTGAATATTACTATTGCCATTACATGTTTTGTTAAATTATATTGCTTTTACATTAAAATCTCTATTTATTCTTAAAAAATGGATGAACATAGTTTTTCTTTAAGAAATAATGAAAAAAAAAATAATATTGAATCAGATAAACGAATAAAAATTTAAACTGAAATTTATTTTTATTGAAAAGCAATGATAAAAATGAACCAAGCAATAAGAAATTTTTGAACAAATATTTTTTTATCCAAAAATATGATGAATATTGAATTTATATATATAAATGTTTGGCGAATATATATAAATGTTTATGATCTAGTAATTTTCTAATTATTTATAACTATTACTGTAAAAATATAAAAAAGTTTCAAGATTAAAATATTGTTTTTTTAAATTGATTAAATTTTTTTAAAAACTATGTATTCTGGAAAAAAAATGATTTGCAGATGCATATTCAGCATATTAAAATCTATAAGAAATATTTTTGAAAATTAAGACAAAATTAAACACATATTGAATATTATTATTATTATATTAATATTAAGTAAAGAACTATTTTGGTGTTTTTCATAGTACATTTATATATTATTATGATTACAGTAATATTAACA